CCCTTAAATTTCTTTCCTCCCCCCTCCCTCAAATTTCCTTCCTCCCCCCTTCTCTCAAGTAATCCTTCCCTCTCCCCCCCCTCCCTCAATGTCCTTCCTGTCCCCCTCTTCCAAATGTCCTTCCTCCCCCCCCTCAAATGTCCTTCCTCTCCCCTTCCTCAAATGTCCTTCCTCTCCCCCCTCCTCAATGTCCACCTCTCCCCCTCCTCAGGCTCTTCCTCTCCCACCTCCCTCAAATGTCGATTTCCTCTTCCCCTTCCATAAATGTCCTTCCTCTCCCCTTCCTCAAATGTCCTTCCTCTCCCATCAAATGTCCTTCCTCTCCCCCTCCCTCAAATGTCCTTCCTCTCCCCCCTCGATGTCCTTCCTCCTCCATCCCCCCCAAATGTCCTTCCTCTCCCCCTCCTTCAAATGTCTTCCTCTCCCCCCTCCCTCAAATGTCCTTCCTCTCCCCCTCCCTCAAATGTCCTTCCTCTTCCCCCCTCCTCAAATGTCCTTCCTCTCCCCCCCCTCCCTCAAATGTCCTTCCTCTCCCCCCCCCTCAAATTTCTTTCCTTGAGGGGATTCCCTGGGGTCCAGTGGTGTCACCCGGCGGGCGGACGGGCGCGCGCGCGAGGGAGCACTCTCCCTGGCTGAGTACTTCCTCTTCAGCTCCCTCGCGCGCCACATACTGATGCCGGCGCCGGAAGATGACGTCATCTTCCGGCTCCGGCATCAGTGCGGTGCGCGAGGGAGCTGAAGAGGAAGCACTCAGCCAGGGAGAGTGCTCCTTCCCCCGTCCGCCCGCCGGGTGTCAACAGGGCCAGCGTCTGGGGGGCCCTGAAGTGACTGGCTGCTGGGCCCCCCAGGAGAAGAGGCTGGCCCAGTGGGTACATACCGGGTCGCAGGGCCACCTGCGACCCGGTATGTACACCACTGAATGTGGGGCCCGGACGACCTGAGCAGTCCGGGCCCCCCAGGACCGCCGGGCCCATGACAACCGTTATGGTTGTCATGCCCTGATGGCGGCCCTGCCCCTGCATTCAGACGCAAACATTACACACAAGTACACCACTATATTCCAATGGCAACAGTACATACAAATACACCCATATGTGCCCGGGCATTTTTCAATCAGAGCGGCCCCCTAAGAAGGGGCCACAGAGGGTGTGTTTTGTCATCACTAATGACAACACGCCCCCTCTCAAAGTGAGCATGTTGGTTCAATGCGCAGAGCCCTGCTGAAGAGTTCTAGCATGAGAAAAAGGCCCTGTATTTGTTCTGCGCAGCGCATGCAAATGTAATAACATGTTTTCTTTTAAATTGTCTTTGGTGTCTCCACAAGTGGGATACCAGAGGACAAAAGGACCAGGAAAGTGTATGGTGCATGTGTTTGGAGCCTGCTTGTGGGATTGTGTGTGTGTAGAGTGTGGTGTGGTATTGTGTAAATAGGTCAATTTCATTTGTGTTTGTGGTGTAATATGTGTGGCTAAGGGCTGTAGAGAGTGTGTGTATAGGGGGCATAGTGTTATAGGGGATGTAGCGAGTGTGTGCATATGGGCTGATGTGTCAACGTTATGCATCTAGGACTGTTTGCCATGGTGTGCCAATTGTATGCATCTAAAACAGCTTGCCATGGTGTGTCAATTGTATGTACCTAAAACAGATTGCCATGGTGTGCCAATTGTATGCACCTAAAGCTGATTGCCATGGTGTGCCAGTTGTATGCCTCTAAAGCTGCCATGATGTGTCAACTTTATGCATCTAGGACTGTTTGCCATGGTATGCCAATTGTATGCATCTAAAACTAATTGCCATGGTGTGCCAATTGTATGTATCTAAAGCTGATTGCCATGGTGTGCCAACTGTATGCCTCTAAAGCTGCCATGATGTGCCAACTTTATGCATCTAGGACTGTTTGCCATGGTGGGCCAATTGTATGCTTCTAAAGCTGAATGCCTTGATGTGCCAAGTTTATGCATCTAAAAGTGATTGCCATGATGTGCCAAGTTTATGCATCTAAAGCTAATTGTCATGGTCTGCCAAGGTTATGCATTTAAAGTTGCCATGATGTGCCAGGTTTATGCCTCTAAAGCTGCCATGATGTTCCAGTTGTATGCCTGCAAAGCTGATTGCCTGGTGTGCTAATTTTATGCATCTAAAACCAATTGCCATGATGTGCCAAGTTTATGCATCTAAAGCTGCCATAATGTTCCAATTGTCTGCCTGTAAGGCTGATTGCCATGGTGTGTCAATTGTATGCTTCTGAAGCCGATTGCCATGGTGTGCCAATTGTATGCCTCTAAAACTGATTGACATGGTGTGCCAATTGTATGCATCTAAAGCAGATTGCCATGGTGTGCCAATTATATGCCTCTAAAGCGGATTGCCATGGTGTTCATTTTTAAAATATGCATTAAAAGCAAGTGGGTCTCGAAAAATGACCATTTTCTAAAGTGGATCTCGAGCAAAAGTGGGTCTCGGGTTACATCACTTTCTTCCCCCTCCTCTCCTCTCCAGCAAAATCTACAGAGTCAGCAGGTATGAAAATCTCCCATTCCCCTCTCCACCCGCCTTAGCACCCATTTCCCCTTCACTCACCACAGTCCACGTGCCCCTAGCACCTACCTCAGCCCCTATCCCACCCTGAGCCTCTATCTTCCCCATCACCCACCTCAGCCCCCATTTCCCCCAGCACCCACCACAGCCAATATCCCACCCTACAGCTCCTTGATAAGGACACAATACAATCCCAATACACATACACTCACAATGCAGCCCCTAGATGCACACGCACATACTTTACAGGCCCTTTCAGCACACACATACACAAACACATATTTTCTCACACACTCACAAATTGCTATTTTTAGTTAAATCCACCCAGCCTTTGGGAGAGCTGAGTAGATCTTTCCCTGGCGTCCAGTGTGTCTCCTCTGAGTCTGCTTGGCAGGTTCTCTCTGCTCCTCTGCACGCTCTCTGAAGTGATGCTGGGAACGGAGTGACATCATGATACTAAATAGCGCGCAAGTGAACAGATAGGAACTGCAGGAAGGTTACTGCTCCCTCACGCGCCGCCTCCATGCTCCCCACGTCGGCCGGCTTTAATGTTTCTTGCGTGGCTTAGCAAAGGGCTGACAAATGTCAGACGCCAGGGTGAAATGTCTAGTTGCCAT